GCCCTAGATAGGATATTTTGCCATTGAATAAACATATATGAAGATAAAATTATATTTAGACCTTTGTCTCTGCTGAAAATTTTTTGTAATACATTCTGATTCAGAATTATGGCTGGCCTTTTCAGTGTATTCTAAAGCATCTACCACATTGCACAATCGGTAGGGATTCGACAAATGCTTTGTAATAAGGTGGGGCTTTGATTCCAATTTTTAAGAAAGAAAGGGGAAAGTGACCTAAATGGTTAATGATATATTAATATGGTTGAATGAATTGATGTAGGTGGCCTTATAGGGGTACATTCTTCAAGATACACAGCATTGTCGAATGGAAAAAGCAAAAAGTGCAGCGTTGTCTCATATATGTAGAGAATATCCTAGAATGGGATGTACAAGAAACCATGCTGGTTACATATAGGATGAGAAGGAAATTTGCGTTCTATTATGTGCACTTTTAAATTCTTTGAATTTTCGTTATGTATTACAGTTCTACAAATCATTTTTTGCAATTCCAAAACTCAAAACCCTGAAAAATGTGAAGATTTTTAGTAAATTTGGCATTAAAACATGATGTGAATGGACATGGGACTATTTATAGTCTGTATACCACTTAATGTTCAAACTTTATTTTGCAGAAATAGTAATGTGTTTGGATTATGGAGAGTGTCTGGACTGTGGTACCTGATGAGGGTGTTATGTAATATATGCATTGTATTTGCTTTCTAAAATCCAAAAATTTTCAAGTTTCGAAATGCATTGTCCTAAAGATTTGGGTAAGAGACTAGACCTATAATTAACTAAAGAGGAGAAACAAAAAACTAAAACTAGTTTACCAAAACAAAACAAGGAAGGGAGCATTACAATGGAAATATAATGTATGGTGAACAGTTTATACATAAATTTGTATAAATTAGTATAAATACTGGGTATGTTATTAAATACTGATAGCACTGTTTGCCTTCCCTTTACTAGGAAGAAAAAACAGATAGTGAGAAGGCGGAGGAAAACATACAGACAGAGGAACCATCAAGTGAGGAAAGTGATCTAGGTGAGGAGATGGTAGTTAGTTTGTATTTGATTATAATATGATCTTGTGTTGATTTTTATTAGAGTAACTAAATCAGCTCTGTCTAATATAAAATGTGAGCTACATATGAAACTTAGGATTTTCTAGTAGCTACGTTTTTAAAAAGTAAAACGAAACAGATGAAATAAGTTTACATATACATTTTTTTAAGCCAGTGATAGATATTTTAGTTAAAATATTGATATACATGTAATCAATATAATAAAATTGTTAATGAGTTATTTTCCTTTTTTTCATAGAAAGGCTTCAAAATCCAGAGTGAATTTTACACATATAGCATTCCTCAATTCAAATGTTATATTTTCATTGGAAATAATTCAGACTTCATAACATTTTATTTGAAAAAGTTGGATCATATACCCAAGTTGTTCTGAACATAATTTGAAAGTTTTCCAATTACTGAATTGAGTACCAAAAAATTATTTTTCTTTAGTTCTTACATCGAT